CCATGGCAATCCACTGCCACAGGGACTGCAGCCCACGCCGTCGCCGGCGACTCACGGCAGCCCAGCTCCAGGTTGAGCTGTTGTTCAGCATCTTAGCTGTAGAGGGCAGTGTCACTGGCCCTCATATGTGGGATCCGAACTGGGGCCCTCTGGTGTCCCAAGCGAGTTCTTAACCATCACGCCACTCGGCCGGCCCGACAATGCTTTTATTTGTAATGAAGTTTGTAAGTAATAGGTTCTGAAATGTTCAATAATGGGTGTGTTATAAAGAGAAAATGGTGTTTAGGTTACTTCAGGGGCTCAATCTATAAAAAGTTTTAAAAGACAGGAGATTCATCGAATTTATTATCTCTCAATAAACTTGCCCACAACGTCCGAAGATATAAAGTGCCACAGGATTCTTTGCATATCTCTTATGTGTAACTATATAGGCTAGTCAATAAACCAGAAATTAAGGTTCTAGGTTATTTCAAGGTCTATGTCTGGGAAGTCAGAGGTCACGGTGGTGAAGTCATTCTCATTTGTGTAAGAATAATTTCCCTAATTGCTTGAGAAATACAGGGTCATTACTAGATATGATTAAAATGTCGAGGAATCTAGATCCAAGTTACATATAAGCTGATGGTTTATGAAAATACTTGCCACACTGGACAATACATGACTTGAATAGAAATGACTAATGCTAGGGCTATCTGTTCATAATCCTGTTCATAATCTACTCATTCTCACAGAATTAAGTCCTTCTTATATCTCCAAGCTCTCATTTGTTTACCAAAACTCTTTTGCATATTTTGTTTGGTAACTCACTACACAGATGATCATACCACATGGTTAATTCCACCTCCTGTATTTGTAGCAAAGGACTAAACATAAGTAATTTAGCTAAGAACATAATTATTAAATTGAATATAATATAATGTGGCATTTTGATCTGTAATTCTGGTAGGAAATGAAAAATATGGACAGAATGAAGAAGGTGAGCAGAATGAAAAATAGGGGCTTGTTTTCTTATATGCCATCTACTTAGGGGAGCATTGTAGGAGCATGTTGATTGTAGACAAAGCAAGCAACCCTCCTCTTTGGGTGTATAAGAATTCCAAGGCATTATGAGGGCAATTTGCATAATGCTTGATGAAAATAAACCACTTACATGTCCTTTTTTATTGGGTTGTCAGAAAAGTCATGACGTATTTTGTCTATGTTTTTCAAAGGTGATTTATTTATATAAAGAACAAAGATCAATCAATGATATATTGCCCATTTTTAAAAATTTATTTATTTTTTTATTGTTAGTTTCAGGTGTACAGAACATTGCAATAGTTATCCTTTTCACCCTTCACACAGAAACAATCCCCCTCCCCCATCTACTGCCCTCCCACCCCCAATATCATGCTTATCTATTACAATTCCATTGACTCCATCCCCACTCTCTACTCCACGTCCCGTGACTATATGTATATATAATTATAGCTGACATACATTATTATTCAACATCAGCTTCAGATATACAGTGCGGTGGTCAGGCCTCTACACTGACTATGAAGTGGTCTCCCTAACAAGACATGAGTCCATCTGGCCCCCTAAAAAAATATTTACATTATTGATTATATTCCCCAGGCTGTCTTTTTCTATCCCTGAGGTCATATTGTAGTTACCAATTTGTATTGTCTTGTCCCTTCCCCTTGTCCTTCATCCCCACCCCCTCCCAACTAACAACCTCAGTTCTTCCTCTGTGTCTCTGAGACTATTTCTGTTTACGTTTCTCATTTATTCAGTGTTTTAGAATCCACATATAAGTGAGATCATATGGTATTTGTCTTTCTCTGACTGACTTATTTCACTTAGCATAATGTTCTCTAGTTCCATCCATATTGTTGCAAATGGTACTATTTCCTTCTTCTTTATAGCTGAGTAATACTCCATTGTGTAAGTGTACCATAGTTTCTTAGTCCAGTCGTCTACCAATGGGCATTTCGGTTGTTTCCAAGTCTTGGCTATTGTGAATAGCGACCTCTGCAATGAACATAGGGGTGCATATATTTTTTCAAATTAATGTCTTGGGTTTTCCTGGATAAATACCTAAGAGTGGAATTGCTGGATCATAAGGTGGTTTTTGAGATACCTCCATACTGATTTCCATAGTGGCTGCACCAGTCTGCAGTCCCACCAACAGTGCACCAGGGTTCCCTTTTCCCCACAACCTCGCCAGCATTTGTTGTTTGTTGATTTATTGATGATAGCCATTCTGACTGGGGTGAGGTGGTATCTCATTGCGGTTTTTATTTGCATTTCCCTAATGCTAAGTGATGTTGAACATTTTTTCATATGCCTGTTGGCCATCTGTATGTCCTCTTTGGAGAAATGTCTCTTCATATCCTCTGCCCATTTTTTAATTGGGTTGTTTGTTTTTTTGGTGTTGAGTTGCGTGAGCATTTCATATATTTTGGATATTAACCCCTTATCAGATATCTCGTTGACAAATATCTTCTCCCATTCAATAAGCTTCCTTTTTGTTTTATTGATGGTTTCCTTTGTTGGGAAAAAACTTTTAAGTTTGATGTAGTCCCATATGTTCCTTTTTTCTATTACTTCCCTAGCCCGAGGGGATGTATCAGTAAAAACATTGATCAGGGTAATGACTGCAGATTTAGACCCTATATTTTCTTCTAGGAGTTTTATGGTCTCAGGTCTTATATTTACGTCTTTAATCCATTTTGAATTTGTTCTTGTATATGGCATAAGGAGGTGGTCCAATTTCAGTTTTTTGCATGTGTCTGTCCAATTTGTCCAACATCATTTATTAAATAGACTGTTTTTACCCCAATGTAAATTCTTGCTTTCCTTGTCATAGACTAACTGCCCATATATGCCTGGATTTAATTCTGGACTCTCTATTCTGTTCCATTGATCTATGTGCCTGTTTTTATGCCAGTACCATACTGTTTTGATTACTGTAGCCTTATAGTATGTTCTAATGTCTGGAAGCATGTTCCCCCCAACTTTGTTCTTCTCAGGATTGCCATAGCTATTTGGGGTCTTTTTTGGTTCTATATAAATTTTAGGATTATATTTTCTATTTCTGTGAAAAATGCCCTAGGTAGTTTGATAGGAATTGCATTGAATCTGTATATTACTTTAGGCAGATATATTGTCCATTTTGTTTGATAACCTTTTGCCATCTTTCAGTGAGCTTCATAATTCCTCGTTCATAGAAGGACCTGTCTTTCTTTGTGAAAAACTGAACAAGGTGCTGATTTACAGCTTCATCTGAATTGAACATTATACCATGCAAGGAATTTTGAAGACAGCAAAACAAGTGGAAGTCTGATAGTGCAAGGTCAGGCTAGTATGTTGCGTATGGCAACACATCCCATCCAAGCTCCAATAATTTTTGTCAGGTGATCAAACTTGGGCGTGTTCTCACGTTGTCATGATGGAACACAACTCTTTTACAATTAACAAGCCCTGGGCATTTTTGGATGATGGATTCATTCAAACTGTCTGATTGCCGATGGTACACATTCAAATTGATTTTTTGGTTCCTTGGTAGGAGCTTGAAAAACACGACACCTTTAAAATCCCACCACACTGAGAGCATAACCTTCCTCTGATGAATGTCTGCTTTCGATGTCATTTGAGGCAAGTCATCACTTCGGGACCAAGATCGTTTGCACACCACATTGTTGTAAACAATCCACTGCTCATCAACAGTTATCAGTCACTTCAAAAAAGAATGGTTTTCCTCACGTTTAATGAGCATATTGCATTTTTATATGTGCCATCAAATGAACTTCTTTGAGTTCATGCAGAACCCAAATATCAAGCTAGCTTACATATCCCAGCTTCTTCAGGTAGTCATGAACACTTGAAGAATGGATGGTCAAAATTTCTGCAGTTTCTTGTGTCGTGTAACATGGGTTTGACTCGATCAATGCCTTTATTTTGTTGTCATCAACCTTGGTGGGCCTCCCTGACTAAGGAACGTTGTTGAGATCAAAATCACCAGCATGGAATTTCGTGAACCATCATTGGCACTGACGTTCTAGGAGAGCATTGTCACCATAAACTTTACACAACTTTTCACAGGCTTGGCGCACATTCTTTCCTTTATGGAAGTAAAACAGTAAAATACGGCAAAAATGCAGTTTGATCTTCCATCTTCAACTTGTAAAATCTCCAAAACTCAACCAAATCGCTCAATTTTTTTTTTTTAGAATGAAGCTAGAACTGTCAGCTGTCAAATGACATAGCAATAACATAGATGTGAATGACTCTAGTACTTCCAAAAATCAACCAGTGCCATCTGTTGCAAACATGCATCATGACTTTTCTGACAACCCAATATTATGAGGACAAGTGTGTGGGACATTTTAGAAATGGTATTGTGTTTTAGTGAGGCATGAAAAGAACAATATGTAACTATTAGCTGGTATATTTCTGTAAATCCAAATGAAACCTTAGCTCTCAGGACCAAGACTTATTCTGCTTTGCTTATTTTGATAAATTTTGAGACTTCTTAAAAAGCCAACAGGAAAGAATATTATGGAATATTTTATTCCAAAGTGTATACACAAATCTCTCCCATCAGAGTATTCTTCTTTAATTAGAAATGTGTTATCACATACTGAAAAATCATCACTACCCAGTGACTGTATTGTTACAACATTACCAGTTAGCTTTTACGATCTGTTATATTGTAATATGTTAGCGAAGTGTAAATTTTGGAAGTCATTTCAGTTTGCTGGAGGCATTTAATTATACCATATACACTATATATATTTATTGGCTATGTTTCAATTTTTTATTTGTTTATAATTTATACCTTCCCTGCTTCCAAGAGTGATTTGAGGCAGCTTATTTTAATTATACTTATATTGGCTAGCTTTTTCAGAGATGTTCCAGATTTTGTTCCTCACTCAGCGGAGCAGCCTACATAACTGAAAAATGGAAGTTGCTTTGTTCTTAGTCTCATGGCTCCTTTCAAATTATGTGTTTTGCAGAGGTTAATATTATGTGGGCTGGACACCAAACACACCACAGTTCTGAAGACTATAACTTATCCACGGCACTGAGACAATCTGTCCTCCAAATATATACTTCCTGGGTAAGTTGTATGAAATTGAATAAATGTGATAATATAATTCATTTTTTAAAAGTCTCAGCTGTTTTTATTTCCTACAAGAAATATTTCCTACAAGAAAGCTAATAGAAGGCATTTGGCTAAAATGTTTCTTTCTCCTCTGTAAGGACAGACATACACATGAAGCAAGTGGTGCTTTCCAATAGTAGTGTTTTATTGAACTCCAAAAACTCACCCTGAGGTTTATGGAAAGGTGAGAAAAAGGGCTGTCTAGTTTTTATTTGCCATCAACTAAGAGGAGTGATGTATAGACAATGTATCTCAATTCAAATACATGCCAAAAAAGATTTTAATAGAAACGTTTCAAAGCAGTTTTTAAAAAATTCAGCTCCCATTTCTGCATGACCAAGAAAAATCTACTGAAACCTTTCATTTTTGGTCTACATATTAGAACAGTTAGTGTTCTAAAACGTTTGGCTCTAAAATATTTTCATGGAAGGAAATGACAAGACTGATGAATACCAGAACTGCCTCTAGTTCTAAGTTTCTTCTGATGTACCGGGCAAAGCAGTTCCACTTGGTAACAGCTCTCATCCGGATTGTCCCACTTTTGCCCTTTTCAACCACTCAAAACACTGCTGCTAAAATATAGGTTGAGCTAGAAAATCAGAGTTATCGATGTGTAAGTATATCCGTCAATAAGCTATTTACTAAGTATAAATTATATGACCTGACATTTGTATGGCTGCTTATGGTTTTCAAGATGGTAGTTTGCAAAATGGTAGTTAGATATCATTTACTGAGCCTTGTCCCAGAAAATCTCCTAAGATCTCTTTATATATTAACACATTTGATCTTCATGACAACTTTAAGATATGGGTGCTACTATAACTCTCATTATTAAATGATGGAGCTGGGTCCATAATTCAGTCACAAAAGTAGTGAAGGAAGGAATAGTTTGTGAATCTGGCTGCAGGGTCCCAGATCGTAATCTGTGCACTACGTCCTCTTCTTCATGCATCTGTATTGCTTTTCACTTCTGTTCTCTCATTTGATCCTCACAAAAAAGCCCATGCCATGCTCGATCAAGTGTTACTAATATCAGGGAACTGAAGACCAGTGAGGTTAATTATGCAGAGATTAAGTGCTAAACCCTATGTGTGAAACCAGATGCCTAATAGCCAACAAAAAAATGATACTGACTGGCATGTGTTCTAACCCAAACAACAAAACAGGCAAAACAAAACAATAAGCCAGAATAGTACAAATACATTTGCTGAAATGGATATTAAAAGAAATCCACCCCTGCTCCCAACACCATACACCTGTGTTACAGCTTGTATTAATTTCCTAGGGCTGCCATAACACAGTACCACAAGCTGGGTGGCTTAGAACAACAGAAATGTTCTGTCTCACAGGTCTGAAGGACAGAAGTCTGGAATGGCCTTGGTCCCTCTGAAGTCGCTAGGGAAAGAGCTGTTCTAGTTCTCTATCCTAGTTCTGATGGTTCCTTGGCTTTGGGAAGTATAACTTCAGTTTTTACATGGTAGTCTCCATGGGTCTATGTCCAAGTTTCTTTCTTCCCTTCTCTCTCTCTCTCTCTCTCTCTCTCTCTCTCTCTCTCTCTCTCTCTCTTTCTTTCTTTTTTTAATAAAGACACCAGTCATACTGTATTAGAAGCTTACCCTACTCCATTCTGACCACGTCTTAACTAATTACATCTGCAGTGATCCTATTCCCAAATAAGGTTACATTCTGAGGTATTAAGGGACAGGATTTTGAGGTATTAAGGGATAAGATTCCAACACATGAGTTTTGGGAGCACACAATTTAATCCATAACAGAGCTGTAAGCAATAGAGATGGAAAAGAAAGGCTATAGGAATATATGTGTGTGTGTGTGTATGGGGTTGTCGGAAAAGTCATGATGTACTTTTTCTATGTTTTTCATTGCAAAAATGCGTCATGACTTTTCTGACAACCATATGTGTGTGTGTATATATATATAGATAGATAGATAGATAGATAGAGACATATATAAAATATGTAATATTTTTTTCATTTCCTATAACATATGCTGAAAGTCTGGGTTATTAAATGTGGAAGAAAATACTACTTATTTCATTGCTATTTCACTTGTAGTTCAAGACTGTTCTAGGGCTCCAGTGAACGTAGGTTAGAATAGGGCCTGTGATGGAGAGAAGGGATACTGTCCACCCTTCCTTCTTAAGAAATAGCCGCATTAATACAAACCTCAAAAATCATTATTCTCTCCTGATTTATATATTTCTTTTTGCATAAAGATAGCTCACACCTCTGGAGGGTGCATTCTGGGGAGAAAGCCTCCATGAAAGAATATAACTGTATTTGATGTTGCTCCAAAGAAATCAGTGCAGTTAGTGAGTTAATCATCCAAGGAATTATCAAAGGAAGTTGTTATCAGAGCATCATAGATTTCAGAACTGGAAGAAATCTGGGAGATAATATATTTAAATCATTGACTTTATTTATTTTATTTTTTTATTCAAGTTTATTGGAGTGGCAATTGTTAATAAAGTTACATATATTTCAGGTGTGCAATTCTGTAATACATCATTTATATATTACATTGTGTGCTCACCACCCAGAGTCAGTTCTCCTTCCATGACTATATATTTGTTCCCTTTTACCGTCAACTACCACCTACCTCCCTCACTACCCTTTGATAACCATTAAACTATTATCTGTGTCTATGAATTTTTGTTTTTTCATTTGTTTGTCTTGTTCCTTCGTTGTTTTCAGTTTTATATACAACATATCAGTGAAATCATATAGTTCTTGGCTTTTTCTGTCTGACTTATTTGGCTTAGCATAATAATCTGAAGACCCATCCATGTTGTTGCAAATGGCACCATTTCATCTTTTCTTATGGCAAAATAGTATTCCATTGTGTACGTATACCACATCTTCTTTATCCAATCATCTATTGGAGGACACTTTGGTTGTTTCCATGTCTTGGCCATCGTAAATAAACTCTGTTGGTGGGAGTGCAGATTGGTGCAGTTACTATAGAAGGCAGTGTGGCGATCGCTCAAAAAATTAAGAATGGAATTACCATATGACCCAACAATCCCTCTCCTGGGTATCTACCCCAAAAATCTGAAAATATTTATCTGTAAAGATATATGTGCTCCTGTGTTCATTGCAACTTTATTTATGGTGGCCAAAATCACTGACTTTAAAAGCTGCAAAATGAATCTCAGTGGAATCCCCTGCATCATACAGTGGGTTGGAACTGAGACGAGACCTCTCAGGCCCAGATTACGGTCATCTCTGTTCTGGTTTCGCTTGTGTCATTCCCCCTGTTAAGTCAATGCATCCAAAATTACAGATTCGTGAAAATCGAAGTGAAATGCAGGTTCACACCTATGTACTGCGGGAATAAATTCCCTTTGCAACCTCATAGCATGTCACCAAGGACACAGAAAAATATGGTGAATAAGGAAATACGCATCATAAACTGCTATTTTGGGAGGGTGGGTAGAGGTGGGCGCTTGTGGATGGGGAGGACATACAAAGTGGGAAATGAAAGGTAGGGTTTGTAGAGCAGCCTGTATTCTTTTCTAGTATTTGTAAGTCTGTTTGAAGATAGCATGGATGGTTTCAGGGTCTGCGATAGTTAACAGGCTGTGCTGGGTCTTTCTGAACATTAAAATCGAAGCGCAGTCGCCAGGTCTCTATTTTCTATGACTCTTTTGTAAAATTGTTTTCATCGACACTGCTGCGTAAGGCATATAATTTGGTAGTTACTAAGGTAACAATGTATTTTAGAACAAATAAAAAGTGGGTCATGTCTTTGAAGATAAAATTGATTTGTGAAATCAAAAGCAAAATTAAGCTCACAGTGCTGTTTTTTGATATTGCTATGCAAATCGGGTGGCCGTCCTGTCATTTAAACTAGTTAAAGATAAGTATTCAACTTTCAAGAATTTGTAACCATTTTTTTTTTTGCATTTTATAACTTCACTTTAAGCTTAGATTTAATATTACTCATCCAAAATGAGCTGAAATTGATGAAGTGCCATTTAAAGTGAGGCTTATTTATTGTGCACTGAAATATATCATTTTGCATGCTACTTCAATCTTTTATTACGCATCTTAATTAATATAATGCCATAAACATGATAGTCTCTCTACTTTGTAAATAATAAAATGTGTCTAGACCCATGGATATTATGTAATGTATAACAGTGTAGGGATTACCATTTTGTTTTCTGCCAAATTTATAATAAAATACCTGAATGCTGCAGTTTTACATTGAAAACATAGCTACAGAAGTGCTTGAAAAATAAAAGAATGAGATATGTCAAAGGAATACAGGAGCGCATTTGAAAGAGCTCCCAGTGGCCAAAATCCGGAACAATTTGAAAAACAAAATATATCACATATTGTGGTTATAAACGGAAGTATAAAATAAATATCTTTGAAATCAGTCCACAATGACAGAGATAAATTACTGAATAAATAAATAAGTGGGGACAAATAAGTAAGAGACAAATTCCCTTAAAGAATTACAAATAATAAATGTAGATACTGCCCCCCGCCCTTCACTAGAAATGGAGTTTAATGCCTCCCTTACCCCTGCCCTTTGTGTGTGGCCTAAGACTAAGGAAAAGGGACAAAGGGTGGGGTGGGGATGGAAGGGTAACGTCAGAGTAGAGAAACATGACCACCACAATCTCAGATCATAGTTAACATCCTCAATGATGTCTTCCTTGTAGCATGTACCCTGCTACAGGGTAAGCAGGTGTGATAAGAATGTCCTTTTATCCCTGCAGTCTTTGTCACCAAAACCCTAACCCCATTCTAACCATGAGAAAAGTCATGTGTCAAACCCAAATTGAGGGACGTTCTACAAAATACCTAACCAGTGCTCCTCGAAAGTATAAAGGCCATGAAACACAAGGATCATCAGAGATATTGTCATACATCAGAGGCGGCTATAAGATAGAAAGACTAAATGTAATGAGATCCTAAAACAGGAAA